ACAGACACACAAGCTGAATGAGAAAACAGACATCTGCCCACACATCTCGTGAACAGCTCTTATACAGCAGGGCAGAACCGAGCACAACTGAATAGCAGAGTGTGGGACCAGACTACAGCATTTTTGCAAAACACTGCAAGACTTTTGTTTTACCTTTTGAAAAGGGCAGATTTACAAGTTTTGGTAAGCAAGATGAAATTGGCTTGAACAGGTTTCCACGTTTAGCACGGTATGGATCTTTCCAGTTTCTTCAGCAGCAAGTGTTGGAAACCAGCATATCTCAAACAGGACTTTTAAAAGCTACATACGCAGGGCCAGCTTCAGAAACTGCTTCCCCACAGCTTTTGGCATACTTGGCAACAGCTGATTCCCGAGGCTTTGCATGGAGATCCCCATCCCAAAGGAAAAGATTAAGAGGCTCCGTGAAGGCTGAGATTTGTTCAGACCTCCCCCAAACTTGCGCCTTATCACGAGCTGCCCCCAAGCCCCAAGCTGCAGCCCCATCACCTCCCATCCCAGTGGATACTTGTTCTGCCTCGGTAGGGAACTTCGGGGAAAAAAACAGGGAGGGGAGGAGGGGAGCTAGAGGTGGAGTGACTGAAGTTGCTGGCAGGAAAATTTTTAGAGGCAGAAGCCAGAGGAATAGGTGGCAGAGACTGAAATCAGATCTGCCTTTCTCTCCAATATACCCCTTCAGGGGGGATTGCTCTTGAAGGCACCCAGGACAACCCCAGAAGCAGGAGCTGACCTAGCTCTGCCAGCAAGCTGCATCATGCCACCGTGGGATGCACAGTGCATCCCACCCCGGCTACCCCACCGCCTACAGGGGTGTGTGGGTGGCAACATCTCCCCTCCACAGGGTGAAAACTTGTAATTGCAAGCAGCCCCCCCCATCTCCCCAAGCTGACAGGGGCTCGGTCAGTGACTGGTATGCTATGGAAGGGAGTGCTAAAACGCTTACGCTTCTGAGAGTGCTGCCTGCTCTGCTCCCATGAGTGGGGAAGGAGTCCGAGACCTGGGGCAGCCCCACAGAGCCTACACATGGCTGCAGCCACATGGCAATGGGAGGCTAACAGATGTGCTAACAACCTTTGCCCAAGCCTAGTTCCAGGACTGGCAAGGTATTAAGGGTCTAATATCTGCCCTTACACTCCTAGATAGCTGCAATAAATCCAAATCTTTCACTCTTTAGCCATGAAAGAGAAAGCCAGCCTTCGTGGAAACCCACAGCCATTTCCATCTGCTCTGGCACAGTTGAAAGTCTTAGCTGCATCTGGTTTTGGAAGATCTCTGCATGGCTTTGGATTTAGGCTGTAACAAATCTGAGAGCAAGAAAACAAAGCCTTTAAAGTATCCAAGCAGCATACTTGAGAGTCACAGGAAAAGCACCAACATGGAAGAGAGGAGTAGGGCAACACCACTCCTGTCTAGGCAACACGGCACCCTATCGAATGGTTCAGCCTTTAGTGAAGGATGTCCAGTGCAAGGAACATTGTCCACTTCACCACAAACAGGGTCGTCTTATAAACCACTTGAATTATAAAAAAAAAAAAAACCAATTCCCAGCCAGGTACAAGCTGTGAGAGAGGAGGGAGAATATGTTCAAGGAGACAATGCAGGATAGGAGAGGCATTCAGAGGAAAACAGCCTGCGCTTGGCTGGCAAACCCTACAAGCCTTATTTATGCTCAGCTCTTGGCAAACTCTGCAGAAGTAAGGACTGCAGGATTTGGATCAGAGCTTCATTCCTTGTGACTCGATTCTTACTCATTAGCTGGCTATAAACAGAGTTAAACAAACCAGTCTGCTCTCACCACTCAGTATTTTTATAAAGAGTCTGAATTCCTATAGATGCCACAGATCCATCTGTGGATCTCAAAGCACTTGATGACAAGTTGAGTTTAGCCTCAAAACACCCCAGTGAGGTAGGTATGACAGTGGTCCCCCGATTTTGCACAGAGAGGGGAAATAAGAGAGACCCTGAAAAAGAAAATGTCATTTAAAAAAAACCCCAAAACAATAGGGAATACTCAGGAGTCCCGATTCCCCTTTTAGTCTGTCCTCACCCCTAAGCAAGTTGCATCTCTAAAGAGACCATTTGAGAAGCCAAGTCCTCTCCTTCACATTTCATCAGGCAAAGCACTTGCATTGCTTAATGTAGGAGTTAGCCCCCGTTGACAGTGTCCTTTTCGGCAGTACGCAGAAAAGGCAGCGCTGAACCACAGCACACAGATGAGGAAGCAGACCCAGAGCGAGCACACGCTGCTTCTGTCTGGTTCTCCATGTGTTCAAAGATTTAACGCAATTAAGACATGAGTTTCCTGAGCAGATACTGTCAGACAACCCCCCTTGTGGGGGAGGGAAAAGGAAAGGGGAAGGAAATCCTGGGAAAGTAAGAAAGTTTTGCAGAGGTGCCTGAGACAAGGTGCGCACACGGCACACCTAAGCCCCCAGCAAGGTGGTTCTTGTTCTGGCTTCACAGAAATGAGCCAACTCAGCCACAGGCAGTAGCCTCCACACAGGCATAAGTGCTCCATAGTCTCCCAAGCTACTCCCAGTCTCTCCCACCTTGCTGGTTACGCACATCATAAAAGCCAGATACACGCATCTTTAGGAGAGCCAAGTGTGAGATACTATATGCTCCCCTTCCTTTTCAAGGAGGGAATAAAACTATTTTTTCAAAATAAAATACTGCAAAGGCCACAGTCAATAAAGGAGTCCCCGTACAGACTACCAGAAAGCCTGACCTAGAAAGAAACCCAAACACTGAGTTCAGAGAAGGGAAAACTCTACCTACTTCCCATCCTGTAAGGGATGTGGGCCTGATCCTGTCATGTACCGCGCCATCTAGTTTCTTCACAACCACGTCTGGCACAGTACATGGAGAAGACAGCATCCAGATGACTACCACGCACTTATAAGAAAGGTGCAGGAGACTGCAGGTGTCACTTGGGAATCACCACTTTGGACCCTTGCTCACCAGGGTGCTCCCTTGATCGCGAGAGGACTATCGGCAGATGCTGTGGAACACGCAGCTCCATTGCTGCTGAAGCTGAAGAGGCTGCACCCCCCTGCTTAAGGCGGCTGCTCCCTCCCACTGGCTCATGGTGGGCACTGGCCAGCCCACACCAGCCATGCCATGCAGGACTAGCAGAGACCCACTCCCTGGCATTAACTGGGCCACCGCACGCTGGTGGGAGTGGGGGGCAGCGCCACGAGCTGGTGAAGGAGCCCGGGGAAAGCCTGGGGAAGGCCAAAGGGGACGGGAAGGGCTGTCACAGGCCCCCTTGGAAGATGATGCACCCTGGTAGTGAAAGGCACTGGCTTACGTACCTTGCTGAATTGGGACCCTCTGTGTTAAGACATCCATATGGAGGGCAGGTCAGCTCCTGCCTGATAGAGATATTTGCATGACAAAAGACCAGGCAGAATGAATTGAGCGTTTGCATTCACACGTGCAAATACACAGAGCTGGGGGGAGTCTCGGAGGGACCTGACTGCAGGCAGGTCACTGCCAGCCTCGGAGCTGGCTGAGTCACGCAATGCCCTGTGCCAGCAATGAGACTTCAGACACCGGTTTACACTCATCATTAAAAGCAAACCTTTCAAAACTCTGCAAATCTCAGATGACAGAAGTCACACACGAAAGCTGCACTGAAGGCAAAGGCAGTCTTACAAACCAAACTGCAATTTAAGTTACGCATCTCTCGCAGGAACAGATCCCGGTATTGAGCAGAAACTCCTGCAGTACAGAAAGGCCAAGAAAGGCAGGCAGATTTTCAACATTCAGACATAGTTTGGTATTTCTTAGCTATAGGCTGAAGGCGTACAGTGGGGAAGAACACACTGCGGTGTTTCCAGAGCACAGAAGTTCTCCAAAGCAAGTGCATGCGGCAGAGGTCAGCCCTTCCCTGGCTCCTCTCCTCAAGGAGGGAAGTGCTTTTGCCCGTCTTTCCTCCAGACGCACTTGAAACCAGCTGGAAAGGGAAGGGCACATTCCTGCCTGCACCCCCCTTCCCCTCAAAGAGGCTGTCAGATATAGGGAGGGTCTGTGATTTATCTGAGGAGAAGCCAGCTACTTACCTACCCTGTCCCAGTGCAAATACGCAGCCCTTGCAGGTGCAAAAGGAAGCGGCGGTAAGGCAGACCCTGAGGGGACCGTAGCTGGAGAAACACATTTGGAAAGCCAGACAGAAGGGGACAGAAACGGGGAGCTTTGGGAGTGCCCGACACAGATGCAGGCAAGCAGGAGAAAGAGAAGTAGGTGAGAGATAACAGAGAGCTGTGTCACACAGAACAGTTTCACTAACAAGCACTGGTAAAAAAAAAAAAAGATTAAAAAATTGAAGAGCTGCAAGATGGTCTGATCCAATTCAAGACAAGCAACTTCAGAGACACAGAGAGAAAAACCTCGTACAGGTCCAGCACTGACAGAAGAGGGCACATGGAGAGGAGGAAAAGAGTAAGTCTTCAGTCTCCAGGTTAGGTGGCTCACAGAAGCAGTCCTCTCACACCCACCCTTTGATACCCTCTCCTCCCTGAGCGAACAGGGACTAGCAAACTCCCCCTGCGCAAGCAGGTTTCTACAGTGGAGAGGCGAGCAACGTGCTCTCAGAAACAGCTACAGGTAGCAGAAGCAGAGACACAAAAGTGCAGGCACACGCGCAGCGTAAGGCAGCGCTCCAACAAAAATACCAACATTGCAATCGTGCGGAGAAAGAGAGAGCATGAGATTTACAGTATGCCTGGGACGGGGGAGAAAAAAAATCTGTTCTGTCTCCAAGGCTGAGCTAACCGAGCCAAGTCACCCTGTCGCCTCTTAAGATATTTCTTTCTAGATAAGATATCCCAACTCCCCCCTTCCCTTTCCAAATAAAGTGCAGATGGTCAAATATTACTGGTCCATCATCTGCCAGTTTCAGTCAGCATTGGGGAAATCAAACCCAAAAGCACAATATTGAAAAAAAAAAAAATCCCCAAACAACCCACCCTCAAAATCCCTTAGACTGAAGTCTCAGACTGTAAGCGGAGGACAAATTTATGAGATTTAGGGTCTATGAACTCTTCGGAGAGTTTGATGAAGGGGATTTTCTTCACATTAACAACAAGGCTGAAGTCCAAGCACTTCAGGACAAAAACAATGCCGTCTTGTAACCCGCTTGTGACCGCTTCCTCGCTGACAAGCGTCCACTGCTTGGAGAACCAGCGATCCCTGTCATACTGCAGGGTTGGGCCCGGGTTTAATGCCTGCCGAGAGAGGGACATGTGTTAGCACCGGCCCCGCAACCTGCTCTGCGTCGATGCTCTCTTCCCATCCCCAGCTACAGCTCTGCGAGCACAGGCTTGCCACGCTGCAATTGGTTTCAGCTTCCATGCTTCAGGAGACATCCTCTCCCCAGTCCCTCCCAGCTTTTCAGACCCCAGGAGCAGACACAACCACCAAGAGATCCTCCTTCAGTCCATCCCAGCAAGCTTGCAAAGTTATAGCCCCGACTTCTGCTGTCAGCACTGCCATCCGGCAGCAGTTCTGCAGAGTAGAGGTCATTTCTCCCCTACCAGCCCCATAACCCATCCCATCCCAGACAGGCAGATAGGATAGCTGGTCCTCCCTTCTTCAGGCCAAGCTAAGGTGGAAAGCAGAGGTTTCCATGTTTGCAGCCTGACTGAGGCTGCAAAACTGAAAGCAGAACAGGGAACGCCATTTAATGTTCCTTGTGTTTTAAAGTCTCCTTTGTAATCTTAATGGCACTGAACTGCCCCTTACATACCTGGGCGAGGTCCCAGGTGGATCCCAGTGACAGGGTGCTAAGCCCCATCTCTTGACAGCATTTCTGCTCTTAGCATAGTAAGTCCTGCGTAAATGCCCAGGAGTAAATTCTCACATTTCTAACCCTTCTCTAGGATTGTGGGGTGTTTTTAGAGGAGAAGGTGGAGAGTGGGAGGGGGATCCTGTGACACGTTTCCCTCATCATTCAGTCCCTCCCTGTGTCTGCAAGTCAACAGTCACAGTCAGGGCGTGAAGCAGCAAACTGACATTTGACCAAGCAGCCCACAAATTAGAAACACTGTCAGACAGACAGGGATTTAGGCAATAATTAGAAGCAGTCCAAAATACAGTACTGCAGAGGGGACAAAAAAAAAAAAAAAAATGGTCCTTTGCAGGTTGCCATCTGCATCATGCTGCTACCATGAGCCAGCTGGGAGAATACCCTGTGACTCAAGCCCACCGTCTCGGACACTTCTTTGGTACTCCCTTTGCTGAACTGAGTATGAGAACAATTAACTCATATGCACTTTCAGATAAAGAGACAGATGATGCTGTAGAGGAAACATTATTTCCCTTTAAGACCTGATGCAACCTACAATGCACTGATCATATCACAGACAGCAACTATGAAAACTTCCACTCATCTCCCCTGACAATTTTCTGTTCTGTGTGCGCACACAGATGTGCTATCCCTTTATCCCTCATTCCTGCACCAGCGTTAGAGAAAGCGTTACCTTTGGTGTCATGTTATTGGTGATGCAGAAGGACAAGTGTTGCAAGATGCTCTCCATGCTGTGGTACTGTTGCTGGCGGGTGGTGCGAAGGTACTTCTGCAGAGCTCTTGCCATGGAGGGGAAGATTGCCTGGGCTGCTTCTCGGGGGTCCATCATCTCTCCTGGAGCTTTCTGCTGTTCCTCTGCCTGGAGGCGTTTGATGTGAGTGAAAGCCTCCTCTACTGCAACCACAAGCCTGCAGAAGGAAAATCAGGACAGTAGGAGTCACAACAAGAGAGGCAGGATGGGTCTGTGGTTAAGGCAGAGCCTGGGAGTCAGGATTTACAAGCTCCTATTCCCATCTCTGCCACTGACTCACTGCCTGCCATCAGACAATTTACATAAAATCTTCTCTACTGACAGTCTGAGGGGTAGAGAGCAGCTTTTCTTTCCTTGCCCAAGCCATCCAGCAACTGAGGGTCATAAACCAGGATTAAGACTTTAAAAGCGTGAGTGTCGTACTTGGTTCTGCCAACACAGCATAAACATCAGCTACATGACTCAAACAAGACACAGCTGCCCTTGCGTTTAATGCATGTCTTTGGAAACAACAGTTCCAGCATACAGTACCGCAGTGTGAAGCGTAAGGATGGGCAAGCAGTCAGGAAGGGGCTGGCTATAAACTAGCATGACCCAGGACACAGACTGCTCCGTGACTCTCTGTGCTCACAAGCTGCAGTCTGCTCCGATTTGCATCAACAGGGTACAGACCTTGTGCTGCCGAATGATCGTTCTGCTCCCCTCCACTGAACAGCAACGGGGCTCCTGTCTTCACTCCTAACACTGCAGCTAGAGACATCCTCTGCAAACCATTCCTGTGTTGGCACAGGTGAGCAAACACCAAGACCACACCATAAAAAGGCAAACAGATGCCATACGACACTTGCAAGTTAGCCCAGTACTAAGTAACAAGTGAGGGGCTACACTGCAGTTAGTGAGGAAAAAGTAACGATAATAGAAGAGTCACCCAACAAAACTCTCTTGCCCCTCCAGACAGGACTTGTTTCACACTAGATTTCCACTCAAGTCACCAACTACTGTCCACACTGCCCTCAGTACCCAAAGCACTGTAAAGCCAGGGGAAGCTGCCTCACGACAAGCAGAGGTATAGCATACCATATTCAGACTATATATGAGGAACAGCACGAGAAGCCCTGACCCCTGCCCATTTTGTTTAATTTGACTTGGGGGAGATAGGGGGTGGAAATCAGTTTCTAATCTCCTCATACCTTTTTGTTGCAGCTCTGACCTTCCTCCTTTGAAACATCCGGCCTGATCTTCTAGTGACTGATGGTTTTCCTCTGACTAAGCAGCTGTTCTAACCAAACTCAGCAAGCAATGGAGACGTGCCCGAGTTAGGATGCTACACTGCATGGAAAGGAAAGTTAAAGTTCCTATTGCTCCGAGGCTGGAAGAGAGCCCAAAAGGCAGCGGCTATGGAGCACAGGTCAGAGCGAAGCAGGCTAGGGGGGACGCTGTGCCAGCACTTTCCCAATGAAATATAAACTGCCAAAAGAAAACACAAAACAAACCAGCTCCTTCCAGTTACAGCACATTCCTTCCAAACACAGCTCAGCTCAGGGGTGCCTGTCTGTAAGCAACTTGCCTCAAACGGTTAGGTATGTTAACTACAAACTGTAATTAGGCTCCAGAGCAAATAGAGGCACTATCTCGGGTCACCTCAACTAAGCATCAACTCTGCAGCCTAAGCTTGACTGGCAGAAAACATACCTATGTTCCAAAATAAAATGCAACCAGTTCTGGTCATGTCTTTCCTCCCCAGCTCACTGAAGAGGGCAAACTGCCCCTTTTAGTAGTCTGCAAACACAAATATCCTCCTCGCCATGAACAGGCAACATCAAGTGCTCCACCAATCCTGTCCCTGGATTACTTCAACTGAGGCGACAAGCCTGGGCATGGGGGAAATAATGGGATTTCCTACAGCAAGTAACTACAAATTTGTCAAGCACTGGACTGTTCCTTAATCTGTGACATTGCGTTAGCTAATCTGGCATAATAATCCTGAGCTCTGCTTTATGCACGTTCTTCAGATAATTCCAGTTGCAAGCTGTCACCGTCCCTTGTGCATCTGGGTTTCATACGCTTCTTTGCTGTGACAAATTTACAGCCAACGCCCAGCCTTTAATCACGGGTCCCCCCTCTCGTCAGGCTCAGCAAGCCCCATGTGACTGAGCCTCGCAGCACCGAGGAGCGGCACCCGGGAAGGGACAACTTTACCTTGCACGGCGTTTTTTCACTCGGCGCTCATGGTCAGCCTCTTCATAGTAGAGCTCGTTGTGACTGGAGTCCCTGCGACGGGCCGCGGCTGCAATCATAGCACGGGACTGCCCCGAGGCGTTGTTACCTGGGCCTTTGGGAGGCGAGGACGAGCAAAAAGGAGACAAGAAAGGTGGCGTTACTGTCACAGGACTGGGGCTGGGACAGACCAGCACCTCACAGCATCTGTCACAAGTGCCCTGTGGCTCCAGCCTTCGCAGCCGAGGCTATAAACCCTTCCCCGGTCCTCAGGAGCTCTGATAGAAACCCTGGCAGATAGCACAGGCTTGCAGAGGGGACTTTGGCTTGTGGACAAGGGAAGTTAGTTGGGATGAAAGATCTCACCCAACATACGCAAAGGCAGAGGTGAGGTGCACATGCCAAGGATGCAACTTACCACCCATTACATATGTTTTCAGCTTGAAGGCAAGGGCAGCTGGAACACACCACATTTCAGCAACAAGACAGTGTGAGAGCACCAAGAAGCGGGGAGGTGCAAAGAGGAGAAAGACAAACAAGAACATCAAGAGACATGGAGATGCATGAACAAAAGCCAAACTGCAGTTACATGCAGGGAGGATAAACAGGATGCAGAGGCAGCAGGGTCACCTCTAGACAAAGCATAGGGTTTTCCAGAAGGGCAGATGCTGTCAGAGCAACCCTGCAATAGGGTAGGCTGGGATCTATATGCATAGTAGCTCCTATGGCTCCTACGCTCTCAAAGCAGCACCTGCCATTAGTGCTTCATGGCTGTTAACAGATCCCACATAGCTACAGGAACAGGGAAGCTGCAGTCTGCTCTAACACCCAGACAAGTGACAGAGCTGTCTATTAAAGGACCTTAACTAGTCACCTTAAAATGCAGTAGTAGCTTCTGCAGTTCCCCCATGAAGCTACAGCTCTGGCTGTTTGGGCAGAGAGGGGGAAAAAAATCGTTGCCCCAGAAGAGTCCACCAACCCTTCTATCTAGATAGAGGATAGAGGTGGGTCTACCCAGAGGGGAAAAAAGGAGAAATCTAGGACAGTCTCCAAACCACCAAGAGCTGCTTTTCTGACTAACTGCTCTGAAAGCCCACACTTTCAACTGGCAGTGGTTAAGGCCAATCAATTGCACAGACATGCTTAAAATTGTTCTGCTCACGCAAGGGCAACTTTTTAATTTTTTCCTAAAAAGCACAAACCAGATTCCAAGACAGAAGCCTGAAGCTCAGCAATGGAAAGGACGAACATTCACACAGACAGCTTCTTAAGAGTCTAAACACTTCAGACTTTGCTTGACAGCCCTGAAATGGAGGATATTACTCAAGGGAGACACTAGCTCCCAAATTTGGGTTAGAACTGTAATTTGCCTCATTGACTATGCCTGGAGACGAAAATCCTGGGTTTGAAGGTGAGCCTCTCCACTCTGTATACGAGAGATTACAGAAAGATGGTTTTCCTTCCTGGCTGCTCCAGTATCAAATACAAAAGCTGCCAATAAATCAGGCTGCCTAAATAGCATTACTGTCTTTTCACATGGAGTGTGTAAGAGACTGTCAGGATGCCAAAGTAAGCTGCAGCCAGAACTACACTCTGCTTCGTAAAATGGATGGGAGTCTTTTTAAGGACATGCCTCTAAGCCTGAGATCTCCACGTCCGCAAAGGCAGCGGCATTGCACAAGGAACAGCCCAGGGAACTGGTACTGCCCCAGAAGGGAAGGCACAAGTTTTCAGGCCCTGGCAGGCTCATGAGCTTGACACTTGGAAAGGCCTGCCAGCCACATCTGGAGCTTGCTTCTGGCTCCTTCTCTTCCAACAAAGTCTCGTGAGCTTGCAGCTCCTAAGCTACTAATGCTACCAGACCAGCAGTTTTTCCTCCGAGCTTGGGAGTCCCAACATCCGAGCAGGTGCTGTGGGAACAGAGACCCTGCCACCTCCTGAAGAGATGCTGCAGCACAGGAGAAGACAAGCCAGCTAGTAACCAGAATGGCACGTCCTGCAGCCAGCCTGGCGGGCTGTTCGGTTTGAATGGTGTGCAGACACCTGTGGGATTGGGAAGCCCTCAGTTTCCACATGCCAGGCCTCATCGAGAACGAGCAGCTGGAATGAAAGATTTCACCTCTAGAAAAGTGCAGAGCAAGTCTGTCTGCTTCCCCTCTCCACTCAACTCGTTCTCTCCCACCTGAGAGCTTCTTCGCCCCAGGGAGCAGGGGACACATGATGAGCAAGCCTGCCCCTCTCCCCCTCCCCTGCTTCCCTTCACCCTTCCTCTGTCAGGATGAGGACATCTCACTGTAAGGATCTAAACCTCCAATTAATTTTACAGACTCAGGAGTGCTGCATCAGGTTTGGGGAAACATTTAGAACAAGGTCTTTGAAACTTCTGAAGTCACCAAAAATGGAAAAAAAAAAAAACCAAAACCAAAAACCCAAAACAAAAAAAAAAACCCCAAACCATAAGGCACTAAAGCTTTGTTGAAGGTAAAACAATCATGTCTCATGTTTTCCCCTGTGACAGATATTCTTCATATTTTGGTCTCCACACCCTGCACGCAGAGCCACCTTGCCCAGCTAAGTCTCTTCAGTTCCTTCTCTGTTCCAGCTCTCAAAGCCTTTCAATACTAACGAATTCACGGGCAGGATGTGCTTTACCACATCTTGTCAGAGGACTTCATCGTCCTTCACCATAAAAGCTTCCCAGCAACTTCAGCTCTTCCATCAAAGGAATGCGCACTTTTATAAAGACTCTGATGGCTGGGCATACCGTGCTTACCAAGCTTAGCTTTCACTGATAGAGTTTAAGAGTGTCAAATGATTAAGTCCAGTTTTCACGGCTTTGAGTGTCCACAGGCATCCACCCATCCATCCTCTTTAAAGCCCAAAAGTTTGAAACAGGTTTGCAGAAAGGCAAAGCTCAAGAGGGGTAGTTATCTGTCGCTGAATTTCCATGAACTGCTTAGCATCATGATGACTTGGGAACGCAGCCACGTATAAGCCAGGCATAGCTAATTTCCTGCTAAGGCTGCTGCTTCTTCCCACATTGGTATCAACCTCCTTTGCTTTCCTGAAGGTTGCCTGTGGAAGTGGCATGGTAAATGACTGAGGAACTCATTTAGGTTAAAAGTTGTGTTTATTGTACTAGCACAACCAAGGAGATGACCCAAGGGTGACAAAAAGCAGAGGCTGCCTAAAATAAGCAGTGGTGCTGAAAAGCACTTGTCAAGTCACGTAATAATTAAGCCTGACCCAAAACTTGGCCGTTTCACCTGGCAAAGACAAAAGCCTTATTGTGGGCTAAATGCATCTGTAAAGTCATCTGGAACCAGCAAAATCAGCACTGTTAGGAAGATTTCCAGCAAGAGACAAGGATTTGGCAAAGCAAAAAGGTGAGAATGTGTGCATAACAAAACATAAAGCCAACCCAGCCCTTCCCCATCCCACCCAGTCTCAGAGACTACATTTCACCTCACCTACCATCAACATTGTAGACTTTCAGGCCAGCCATGTGCTTGGCTGCACGGGATTTGGAGGCCGTTAACAAGGCTGGGTTGTAGACTGTGAAATCTTTGTAGTAATTTTCCAGAACCACTAGTGCAGCTCGCTGGATGCTAGGGAAAAAAGAAAAAAACCACAAGACAAAACCCCCCAAAATGCAACAAGTTCTTTTGTTTTCTTAAAATTAAAAAAAAAAAAGAAGAAATAGCCACATTATTTGGAATGGGTTGTCACGCCCGCAGAATTGTGCAATACACAGAATATTAATTACTCTCTCTAGGACCTGAAATTTCATTTGAGGTGCAAGATAAACGTCTCCGCCCTCATCTCAATAGAAAGATGACAGTAAATCCCTAAACAAGGGCAGCACACAAAACTGAAGCACTAGGCTGCCTGCAGTATGGGAAAACACAGAACAAGAGCTCAGCCCGCCTCAGCAGCGGGGCAGCTGCGACCCAGAGACCTTGCCCAGGCTGAAGATCCGAGCACCGCACCAGTTTTGCTGTAGCTGGCCAGCCTAGATGGAAGGACCAGCTCAGGATGGATGCTTTTCCCTTTGAGTCATTTTCGGCCGCACCTCGCAGCTCCTCAGATCTTTTCCATCCAAGCACTGACAAGAGCCCGATCTCTTCAGCTTTCACGGCAAGATAAGATCACTGCCTGAGGAGTACGGCTGCCAGAGAAGGGATTACCTCAGTATTGCTTGTTAAATCCCAGGCAAGGGACACAATAAGGAGCAGTGACACTCCCTCCCTCCCTTTGAAGGGATGCCTCTACATAAAATGACGACACACGGGAGCAAAACAGCACACGCGCCAGCAGCAGGAAAGGCTCAACCCAGAGGTACCTTCCTTTGCAACCATTTCGACAACAGAGAGAGAGATGTCTGTAGGCACTGCTAGTAACAAATAGGACAGTATTCAAAACAAGCCAGAGCTATGGTATTTAAAAAAGCCAATGCAGGATCTAGGACATAGCTCTCTCCACGCTGGTCTGGCTCCATGCCCCAGCCTGGTGTCCGGCTGCCAGTAGTGTTCTCCAGCAAATCACCAAGATCATCGATTCAGCCAGCTGGAGTTTGCCAAGAACCCACACTTAATTTCATTTTGAACCCACAAAAATTATAAGGGAACTGCCAACACATTTGTTGCCAGTTAATTGTAAAGTTCACACTTACCAACAAAGCCTCTCCTAAGGAAAGCAACCAAGTATTCTCACACATATTACAACATAGGAAGAAAACATTACAAGGACAGTAACGTGGGAAAATAAGACATGAACAAATTAAGACCTAAATTCAATTCTCAGCACTACCACTGATTCAATGCGCGCTCCCAGAGGAGCAATTTAAATGTTCCTGTGCCTTGTGCTAATATTAAACTTTTGCATCACACCCCAGTAATTTAAACACACACACACCCTCTGCCATCCTCATTCTCCAGCTGCCCCCCCCTCCCACTGATCAGTGAATTAAGCGTAGATGCCAGCCCATTCACGAGATTCTGAGAAAGAAGGACAAACCCAGACTTGTTCACTGTGTACCTTCATCAGTCAGTATTACGGTACAGCACCATATATTTCTTTAGCTGTGTACCTTTAAGATGATGAATTTAGCTTTTGAAGCAAATTCCATCTTAGGACTGTTTGGGGGTCTTTTGCATCCAGCTAGAGCATCTTAAAGCAGCTTTACTTTTCAGGTGCCAGTCCTTCATATTTCCTCAAATCATGTTTGTTAAAAGCAACTCCATTTAAGCACTCAGCTACTGATATGGAATAAAAAGCCATTATTTCATCAAGGAAATAATCTTCCTTTAATGAAGTAGTAGGGACTGACCCACTGCCACACACATGTAGGTGCTGACACAAAACAAGTGAAAGCCGGTTTATTTCTCCCTGCCAAACTTCTGATTTCTACTGTGAATTTGCTGCAGCTTAAAAACAAAATTTTATAAAAGAAGTCATGTGGCAGCAGCACATATTTCCCCTTCTGAGTGCATTCAAACATGACCGAGTTTTTCCATGTCCGCTTCCCAGGAAGGTAAAACTCCATAAGAGTTTCACCTCAAAATCCAACATTTGGAAAACCAGGATCAACTAAAAACAAGAAGATAAAAATGAACAGAGTTATACTCTGCTAATACACTGCACTCATTTCAGGCAGCGTTGGGACTTCCATCCCAGCAGCGGGAAATGTTTGGGAGGTGCTCCATTGACCAACTAGCTCTATTAGGACAAAGCACAATGCATCACACAAGAGAATAATTTATTTTAATACATACACATTTTCCCTGGACCCCACAGAGAACGTTATCATCAGGATGCCAGCTTTCCCCACCCACCAACCCCTCCATCCCCTCACTAAATAACCTACCCCGCCAATTCATTGGCACACGCACCCAAAATCCAAACACAATAAAGCTTTCATGTTGCAATAAGCAACCATCATTGCCCTGAAAATTAAAGCCCAGCTATTTTTTGTTGATGCAAATCCAGTACAGGCTCAGTCCCGCATATGAGATACCCCAATCACACAGAAGGTGTGCTCTCTAGGGAAAGGATTGTAATTAAACACCAGTTTCCTAAATTTTTACCAGCCCATTTCTGTCTCCCATGTAGTCCATCCTAAGCATGGCAGGTTAGGAAGGCAGCTGGACTGCAACTCCTCAAATTCTCTTCTAAAGAAAAAAAGCAAAAAAAAAAAAATTAAAGAGAAGATGCTGTGGACAAGAAAATTAGAAGGGTCACAATAATTAGCAAGAGCGAGGAGAAGGCTGAATCAGAGCCTTCTGGGCTGTGTTGCTCAACCTCTTCACCCACATCAAGGGGAAGCCTCACCCTGCACAGCGCAGGAGCTGCAAAGCAACAAGAACCCACCTCCCCCCCGAACAGGCCCAGCCGTCACAGGCCCAGCAGAAAGGGACCCAACGCACTTGTGCAACACCATGTGCAAGGAGGAGGGTAACTGCAAGCAAATAAGCGTCCAGAGCAGCCCTGAGGAGCGAGTAGGAGCAAAGCAAAACGCTAAGGAGGCCTGCTGTCTCCCAACATTCAATTCAATTTTTTGGGACTTTCCCCACTGCAGGGCAGACCCTCTGCTGCCTTGCGAGCAAGGTGAAGTGGCTGCAGCAAGCCTCCTCTCCACCCACACGCCAGCTCCAGTGGGAATGGAAACTGGCAGTCTTCCCAGAGCCCGCATTTGGAGGCTGTTTCCTTGCAGAAGTGCCTAAGGAGGAGTTCAGCACCATGTCGGTCACTGCATTCAGTCACCCCGCACTTCAGCAAACCGAGGCTTTCCTTGCTCTTACGATTTTAAAAGAATGGGGAGGGGCAGGAAGAAAATGAACAGAAAGTTTCAATACTTAATTGCCTGTTTGGAGAGGGTCAGAGTGAGGATCCTCCTCACGTCCTACAAAGCAGATCTGGCAGCCCAATATATTTCAGGCATTGTAACAAACTACTAGAACACAGAAAAGCGTATTGGGACACAAAGAGCATTTTCATGCAGCAGTTCAGACTCAGAAAACCTATGACATGAGAACAAAAAATTCTCGCACAGGCCAGTGACCTACTGGAAACCCAGTTTTCCTTGAAGGCAATATCGGTAAGGCTCTAGATTTTGTTGCTTTGCATTTTGTGTGGTTGGAGGGTTGCTTAGTTTGTTTTCTTTTTTTTAATTATTATTATTACTACCCTGAAGAAGGCCATGTCACAGCACATTGCCAACACGGAAAGCAAACAAGGAGATCCAACAGAAGCACAGGGTACCTCAGTGGCATTTGGCAGCAGAGAAACGCAGTCCTTTACAAACAGTAATGAATTAACTTCTACAGGCCATCCAAGGAAGTGGAGGAGGGGACTATGTGACAAAGGCAGCAACTATTGCCAATTTTTTTTCTCTCAAAAGGTAAGTCAGGAACAGTTTTGCCTGAATACTTGCACACGGGATTTTGATATTTGAGGTCTTGCCATACTCTGTAGCTCAGAGGCCATTTTGGCTTTGTATTTGCCTTCTGTGACATAGCTACACCAATACTGAAATTGGCTTTTTTAGAGGATTTCCAGGAAAACAAGCCAGCACTATACTGAAGCAAAGCACAAGGAAACAAGCCTGTTTATGTAATCAAAATACTGGTTTTGGGCCCTGCCAGTTTCTAGAAAAATGGTTTCGAGTCTTCTGAAGTGGTGGGAAAGGGTTAGTGAAAAAGAAAATAAGGAGGAAAGGAAAAAAAAAAACAACCCACCAGAACACCGAAGCCACACCCCTATGCTCAAAGTTGCATTTGACACACTAGGGTCAAACCCAGCAGGCTGCAGCAGCCATCATTCTCATGGTTTTAGCAGTTTCGTGCTTTCCTGCTAAGCTAGAAATGTAGCCTGTCATGGTACTATACCAACCATCAGCTAGATACTGCTAATCATCGAAGGCAGAGGAGTGCCTCACACTTTTCCAACAGATCTAAATACACATCCAGAAAGAGCTGCTTGCTACCAAGAGCACCCACTTCCTTACCTTGCTATGAATGCAAATCGTGTAGCATCAGAGTTTAGGGTGAGCCACACACCTAAAATCCACAGGGATACCCAGAGAGGCCTGATCACTGCTGTGCTAATTAAGGGCTGAGGGCAGAGGAAGCCTAGGGTTACTCAATCAAATGGTTCCCAGCACTGACTCCTCTCCTCCAAACAACGTTTTTTATGTTCTCCAAAATAGACACAGCATCAAAACAAGCCAAGGTCTCTGGGCACATGAAATACATGCCACAGCCAGTTGGGAAGCTTTGGCATCTCAAAGAGAAGCTGAGCAAGGATTACAAAAAGCAACCTTCCACACAGAGCCAGCTTTGCCTTACCGGCTGTCTCCAGCCTACAACTGCATCAAGCTTATCTACTGCAAGATATGCTGAGATCTCCTGGGGTGCTGAGCTATTCATCCACAGTACTTCTTACTCTCTAGCAGTGCTGTCAGCTCACACCCAACAGGCTCGGAAAACTTCTGCGCCTTCCCAGAAGCACCCTACAATCACACCTCCCCCTCCTAGAAAACCCCTTTCCTTCACATACTCTTTTGCCAGGCGCAGAGCTGGGGCTCGAGTTCCTGGTCCTTCACCACGCT